CACCTGCGACTAGACATAAAAGCTGTTGGATGGAATTTTAGTCTCATTTTCATAACTTTGAACCCTAGACTCGGTGGGAGGCGATTTTGAAGATGGATTTCCATCTACAATTATTGGGTAAGTGATTTTGATCAATTTCCAACTATTTTACATGATTATATGTGAGATTATTGTGAGAATCAAAGTGAAATTTTAGAAATTTTGTCGAAGTTTTTAAAAATGAGAATTTGAGCGTTGAGAGTCGATTTGAACTCGGATTTTGAAGCAAAATACATATATAGACTCGTGAGGTTATGGGTAGCCGCAATCTACCCTTGGACCGGGTTTCGACTGGGCGAGCCCGGAGTTGACTTTTGTGGAATTTTGCAAAAATCATAGCTTTATTAATTGGAATTGATTTCTCTTGCATTATTAATGTTATTAAGTTAATTTTGGTTAGATTTGAGCCGAGGAGGGTGAATTATAAAGGAAAAGTTATTTTAGAGTATTGATTGAGGGCTTTTGTGGTAAGTATCTTGCCTAAATTTTTGTAGGGGAATTACCCCGTAGGGATTGGTTTGTCTGCACTAATTGAACTATGAGAAAGATGTGTACTCGAGGTGACGAGTGTGTACACGGCTTATTGTAGAATTTGGTAGAATTTTGCAAAGATCATAGATTTATTAATTGGAATTGATTTCTCTTGCATTATTTGATGTTATTAAGTCAATTTTGGTTAGATTTGAGATCATAGCAAAGGTGAATTATAAAGGAAAATCTATTTTAGAGTATCGATTGAGGGCTTTTGAGGTAAGTATATTGCCTAACTTTGTGTAGGGAAACTACCCCGTAGGGATTGGTTTGTTTGCACTAATTTAACTACACGAAAAACGTGTACTCGAGGTGACGAGTGTGTACACGACTTATTATGCAGGGGTGTTCGCACGTGAGTTGTCCGTGCTATTGTTATTATTGATATTTGCACATACGGCGTGACAAGGCAGGTTATATATGTTGGGTTTGCGCATGTGGCAAGACAAGGTGCGATAATTGTTATGAGCGTGTGGCGAGATAAGGTGGGCATTTACTTTATTGTCGCGCACGTGGCGAGACAAGGTGGGTTACGTCGAGGATAATTTGTGATTACCTGGGGCCATTGTTACTGATGATATTTGTGTGGTGGTGTGCCTACCTTGTGTGAGTCATACATATTATAGTTTTTTTTGTGTTATTTCCATTGTGCCATTTGGTGTCTCTGATCTTACTTGTTGACTCGAGCTGTGATAGTACACTAACACAAGCATACACCATAATCTGTCACTTATATCAGCCAAAGAATATGATCATTGATATTTGTTGATCATTCACATGTATTTTTTGTATACCTGCCTTCTGTGCGTGAGTTGAGCTATTGGCACGTGAGTCGTCCGTGCGGATATGAGATATTGTTATTCTTGGCACGTGAGTTGTCCGTGCGGATATGAGATATTGTTATTGTTAGCATGTTAATTTTCCGTGCAGATATGAGGTATTAATGGTATTCGCACGTGAGTTGTTGACGAGCTCAAAACACCACTTAAAATTATGCGCGTTAATCAAATATAGTATAGTATAATATCGTATCCACAGAGATTGGAGTTAAACAGTATTATCATAGTTTCTAGCTTGATTGCTATCCAAGATGATCAACGGTTGAGAATTATATGATTTCTAACTAAAATTAACTAAGAATCTAAACTATTGACTAGTGACAATTGATACAAAAAATAAGCAAAGAAAGATATCAATGGGGGAAGCTAGGGTTTTGATAGGATAGGTGCAAGATAATTGTTTGGGATCTAACTCTAGATAATTTACTTCTAATGTTCGAGTGAGTCTCTTGAATTCACTCAATTATTAGTTCAATTGTTTAGTAGAAACTCCTCTCTCGATTAAGTCTCAACCTCACAAGATGAACTAATTTAAGCTCGGTGAAGATATGAAAGAGTGGGTAGTGGATTGGTCTTTAGGAGAACCTCTCTTGATTCGTCAAGCTCAGCAACGAGAAGTTTTCCTCTGCTGGAAAGCAGTCCTTCACGGATATGGGAGCATACTCCGCAGTTGCTATCCTCCTAACTAGGTTTAATCAATGATTCAACTAGCCTCTTTCGATTACTACGAAGAATTAATGAATTCAACCAACAATATAATGCAAAGATATAACAAGTTATGCCTCTCTCGATTACATGAACAAGTGAATATAGATACAACAATTAAATCATCCAAAAATGCTTCAGTACATAAACTAGAGTTACAATCCAGAAACAAATATCAAACACCAAATTCATCAAACCCTAAAGGGAACTACTCCATAGACATGGAGTAATTCATCACAAATATGATAAAACGATAGGAAAACATAAATTCGATCCAAACTCGGGTCTTGAGTGAGGAAGGAATGATGAAATCCTTGTGCTTTTGCTCTTCCAGCTCCTCCTTCGCTTCCTTAGCTCTAAAGTGTGTCAAAAGTCCTGAGAATAACGTTTTTCCATGTATTTATACCAAGTAGGGGTCGGGCTCAGACGAAACCACCTTCTCCTAGCCGAAATAGGATTTTGGCTCTGTAAAAATTTCACAGGCGCGCGGCATGGGGCGACGCGCCATGCAGGGCAACAGTGGAGATCTTTAGAAAGATTGAACTTTCAACAGGCAGCAGAAATGTACAGATTCGGCCCCATTTGCCGCTCCATGCACCGCGGGTGTGTTGTTTTCTCATAGTGAAGTTCAAACTTCGATTTTTGATATCCAGGCTTGGTCCTCGACCCCGAACGCCCGACTTAATCCTTTGGGCTTTTACTCAGACTTCAAAGCTCCAAATCATTCGAATTCATTCCATAACATCTACATCACTCAGAATCACTCCTATAAGGCATAAAACACACGATAAGTACAAAACACTAGCGATTAAAGCTCAAACGCAATTAAAGTGCAGTGAATTAGAGTGTAATAAGCGACTAAAACACGAGATTATAAATTATCATCAACACCGCACACTTAAACCATTTCTCGTCCTCGAGCAATCAAACTACACTTTATATAGACACGACATTTTTCAACAACTCTCCTAACTCATCATACCAAGAATATTTAAAATAGAATAAGCACAATAGTGTAACATCTTCGCCTCGAGATTTGACTCACAAGTACCACGCAATATTCACAACTTGCTCACTTACTCCAACACAAAGGTCAATGACATAACCTTTTCTTCATGAATCAAGTTCCCTCACACAAAAATAGAGAGTAGTTCCACACACAATAAAATTTAAGAACCATTAGGAACTCAAGATAGAAAGAAGTCACTCACTCTCAGAAACAACATTCATATGCACAAAAGATGCACCATAGGCTTGTCCGTAGTGTACTACTCTACTAATTGAGCTCATTCAGTCAAGGATCAAGTAGGACTTTAATTGGTTGTAATGTAGGTTGCGGGACAGGTAGGATATATTTGGATATAAGAGTGACTATACCTCCCTAAGCACTTTAGTACATACAATTTACCGTTAAAAACTCGGCGCTTATGTCAAACAAAAACTCCACCTTCACATCAATATACATTAACTCCCTACTTCTTTAAACACAATTACATCAAGAGTCACCACTATCAAAGAATATTTTGCACAACAATACAACTTTTTTTATTTTCTCTTTTAATTCAAGTGGCTCTTACTTTTTCAATACAGTGCACCTTTTTCCTTATTTCATTAGTTCCACTCAAAAGCCAAACCTACCACCCCACACTTCAACTTTTACAAAGTTCATAACAAATTTAAGCGCTCCTGAGAGGTACAAGGTTCAAATAGATGGTCAATTCAAACAAATGAGTAAGGCTTGTAATATGGTTGCCAAAGAAACAGGATTACAGGCTCAAAGGGGTTAACTAAGATGCATAACCATTAGGTGGGTAATAGCATATAATTGACTCAACAAAGAAACGCCTATATCACTTTCAAGAATGAATAAAACTACTATTTCGCTTTGCAAACACATGGGACAAGTTCTAGACATCAAATGCAATGCACAGAATAACACAAGACCTCTCACACACATGGCACATAACTCACTCAAGATTGGATTATCAAGACACTCTAGTCAAAGCAGTTAAGCAAGGTCACGATTATATAATTTAAGGCACTTACACACGAGTCAAAAAATGAGCCTAAGCATCACAATCAAAGCACTCACTTTTCTCAAGGCATGACGAAATCAAGAGATATTGCTTCCAATTCAAATCATAGCACAAGATTTTCTACTCCTAACAAAATTAAAAACTAACTACACCCGTTTCAAACAAAACCCTTGGAAAAGAAACGCGGCACAAAAAAAACCCAAGGAGGAATTAGTACACTACCTATAAAAGAAAATCTTTTTGGTCTTTTTTCTTCAACTTTAATCCCTTAAGAAACATGTCGATATGATATCCATAGTCGGGAAAAATCAAAAAATTTAAACAATTTATTTTTTTTTTGCAATTTTATCTCTGTCTCTATTTACTAAAACTAACAAACAAAAACTAGTAAACATACATACTTACAATATATACCTCACCCCATACTTTAAGTTGTGACATGTCCCCATGACACACAATTAAAAAGCATAAGGTAGAGGAAATTTTCCTGAATGTCTAGTCGGGATCTGAATCAAAGTCAGGCTCCATTCCTCGCGCCCGAACTAATGGAGACAGCTTCTTCTCGGCCTTCTTATGGTATAACCCACACTTATCTTTCTCACTGATTGCATCCTTCTCTTTTGATCCCTTCACTTTCCACTCAACACTTACAGCTGGCTTCTCCTTTTTCACCCCCGTTTCGACATCCATCTTGAATGTTACAGTCTCTTCACCCATTCTAAGCATGAGTTTTCTCTCGTGTATATCCAATATTGCTCTACCCATTGCTAAGAATGGTCTTCCTAGGATGAGAGGTGCCTCCTTATTCTCCTCCATATTCACCACTATAAAATCCACAGGAAATACGAACTTATCCACCCGCACTAAGACATCTTCCAATATCCCCTTCGGGTATCAAAGTCATTTGGTCTGCCAGCTGCAAAGATATTGGTGCTGACCTTATCTCTCCGATCTCCTTCTCCAGTTTCCTGTAAATAGACAAAGGCATTAAATTGATTGAGGCACCAGAATCACATAAAGACTTACCAAAATTAATAGTGCCTAAAGAGCGAGGTATAGTAAAACTCCCTGGATCTCCACACTTTTGTTGGAGTTTATTTTGCAAGATTGCGCTGCAATGCTCTGTGAGCTTGACCACTGAGGTCTCTTCTATCTTCCTCTTCTTTGTAAGGATTTCCTTCAAGAATTTGGCATAATCTGGCATTTGTGAGAGCACCTCTGTGAATGGTATGTTTACATTAACCTGTTTCAGCATATCCAGAAGTCTCTCAAACTGCTCGTCCAGCTTTTCTCTATATAGCTTTTGGGGAAAAGGTAGAGCAGGCACATGCTCGCTCTCATTAGATTCCTCCCTTCTCGATGTTTCCTCATTCTTCATGTCAACTCCTTTCTTGCCTTTCTTCTTCTTCTCAATATCATTCTTCAGATTCTCCCCACTTTCCTTTTCAGGTATCACATCTTTTTGGATCGGGGTGGGATCTTTCAACACTTTCCCGCTTCTCAAGCTCACAACATTCACTATTTCTTTGGGATTTCTCTCAGTATCAGCTGGCAGAGTACCTGGGACTCCCTCAGATAATATTGTTGTTGTTTGCCCCACTTGTCTCTCTAAGTTTCGAAAACCTATGCCAAGTTCTTTGATGGCTACTCCATAAGTGTCTAGCCTCTCATCTGTCTTGACAATGAAGGACTTCATTAGATCTTCTAGACCGGGCTGATTGGGTTGTTGAGGCTGAAACTGCGGCCTTGGATGATTCACAAAACCCGGAGCTCCTTGTCCCTGAAATCTTGGGTTGTTTTGTTGCCATGCATTTGCGGTACCCCCAGGTGAACTCCATGAAAAACTGGGGTGCTTCTGACCCATTGCATTAAAATTATAACTTCCCACAGCATTCACTTCCTCAGTTGAGGCTTGACACTCATGAGTAGGGTATCCTCTTCACATATATCACAAGCTGCATGAGGTTCACTCTGTATTGTAGCTAAAGTCAGCTTCCGTATTTCTTTGGCCATAGCATCAAGCTGTGTTTGCACAAAAGTGTTAGCATCAACTTGGTGAACACTAGTTGATCTTCTTCTTTCAGCACTCTCAGAGGGCCACTGATTTGCATTTTCAGACAACTCATCAAGAATTGTAACTATCTCCTCTGGAGTCTTCTTCATCAACAGGCCTCCAGCTGCATTGCTCAATGTTCTATGTAAGGCCGGTGTCATTCCATCCCAAAAGTCCTGGAGTTTCATCCAGAGTTCAATTCCACTATGTTGACACTTTCACACTATCTCCTTAAGCCTCTCCCAAGCTTCAAACACAGTTTCAGTCTCTTTCTGGCAGAAGTTATGGATTTCTCTTCTAAACTTTCCCATCTTAGCTGATGAGAAATATTTATCAAGAAATTTTTTGGTCATCTCATCCCATGTTCTAATCTACCCCGTGGGCAAGCTTCTAACCCACTGCTTTGCATCGTCTTTGAGTATAAAGGGGAATGCCCTTAAGTACACTGCATCTTATGACACCCCATTGTATTGAAAGGTGTTCATGATCTCCTCGAAGTCTATCAGATGTGTATTTGGATCTTAGTTCATCTTCCCTCTGAAGACACAGCAGTTCTGAAGGGTTTGACGCAACCCTTGCTTTAACTCAAAATTGTTAGCTGCAATTGGAGGTGGTCTCACACTTGATAAGCCTTGGTTGTAGACCGGTTTAGCATAATCGCCAAGTGATCTCCTTGGCTCGGGAGGTATATTTATGAACTGGTCTGCACCCAAGGGCTGATTTTAGCAATTCTCCGAGCCCTCTCCTCTTCATAGAGTATCTGTGCATCTCTAATAGCTGCTTCCTCAGCATCGCGTGCAGCTTTTTCTCGTTGTTGTGTTGCATGTCTTGCATCCAACTCTACATTATCATCATCTCCAGCCATAGTTTCTTTGGTTGAGGATTGCCCAACCTACTCTAAAGTCTCGGGGAGATTTCTTTCCTTCCTCAGTTGGCGTAGTTCTTTTTCTGTCTTTGGTTCGTATGGTAGCACTTCTTTCCCAGAAGATCAAGTCATGCACCAAACTTAACCTGTACCCTGTGCATAGTCAAGGAACACCAAATGTAAAAAGAGAAAAATAAAAGAAAAAAAATCTTGAATTAGCACTACAAACTATTTCAAACACTATTGATTGCCAATCCCCGACAACGGCGCAAAAATTTGACGAGCGCAAAACACCACTTAAAATTATGATCGCTAATCAAACATAGTATAGTATAATATCGTATCCACAGAGATTGGAGTTAAACAGTATTCTCGTAGTTTCCAGCTTGATTGCTATCCAAGATGACCAACATTTGAGAATTATATGATTTCTAACAAAAATTAACTAAGAATCTAAACTATTGACTAGTGACAATTGAAACAAGGAATAAGCAAAGAAAGATATCAATGGGGGAAGCTAGGGTTTTGATAGGGTAGGTACAAGATAATTGATTGGGATCTAACTCTAGATAATTCCCTTCTAATGTTCGAGTGATTCTACTCAATTATTAGTTCAATTGCTTAGTAGAAACTCCTCTCTCGATTAAGTCTCAACCTCATAAGATGAACAGTTTAAGCTCGGTGAAGATATGCAAGAATGCGTAGTGGATTGGTCTTTAGGAGAACCTCTCTCGATTATCCTCCTAACTAGGTTTTATCATTAATTCAACTAGCCTCTTTTGATTACTAAGAAGAATTAATGAATTCAACCAACAATATAATGCAAAGATATCACAAGTTATGCCTCTCTCGATTACATAAACAAGTGAATATAAATGCAATAATTAAATCATCCAAAAACGCTTCAATACATAAACTAGAGTTATAATCCACAAACAAATATCAATACACCAAATCCATCAAACCCTAAAAGGAACTACTCTATATACATGGAGTAATTAATCGCAAATATGATAAAGTGATAGGAAAACATAAATTCGATCCAAACTCGGGTCTTGAGTGAGGAAGGAATGATGAAATCCTTGTTCTTTTGCTCCTCTAGCTCCTCCTTGGCTTCCTTAGGTCTAAAGTGTGTCAAAAGTCCTAAAAATAACGTTTTTTCATGTATTTATACCAGGTAGTGTCGGGCCCAGACAAAAGCACCTTCTCCTTATCGAAATAAAATTTTGGCTCTGTAAAAATTGCACAGGCGCGCGGGATGGGGCGACGCGCCACACGGGGCAGCAGTGGAGATCTTCAGAGAGATTGAACTTTTAACAGGCAACAGAAATGTACAGATGCGCTGCCCCACACGCCGCGGGTGTGTTGTTTTCTCAAAGTGAAGCTCAAACTTCAATTTTTGATATCCAGGTTTGGTCCTCGACCCCAGAACGCGATCCCAGCTTAATCCTTTGGGATTTTACTCAGACTTCAAAGCTCCAAATCACTCGAATTCATTCCATAACATCTACATCACTCAAAATTACTCCTACAAGGCATAAAATACACAATAAGTACAAAACACTAGCGATTAAAGCTCAAACACAATTAAAGTGCAGCGAATTAGTGTGTAATAAGCGACAAAAACACGAGATTATAGCCTACCATCAGTTGTCCGTGCAGTTGTTATTGGTAATGTGGACACAAGATGCCAAGTGATTAGGGTTCGTGATTTGGGACCCGTGGTTTGTGATTATGAGGTGTGGTACCTCGGGATAATTCTGGTAAAAATCTTGTGTGAGAGCGGTTGATTATTGGGTTGTTCATTGTTTTCCTTATTTGGTTTCACTGGACTTTAACTGTATTCTGCTTACTTTACGGCGTTATTACATGTTTGCTCCTTGTCGCTAATTGTTACTTCCATTTGCAAGTATTGTATTGTTATTCTTACGATGTTTAGCTTTATATTGATATTGTTCCATGTTAGTTTTATATTCATACTTGTACAGGTTATTATGTCTAGTAGGTGACTGTTCATCGTCACTACTCCACCGAGGTTAGTCTTGATACTTACCGGATATCATTGTGGTGTCATCATGCTACGCTTGCTGCACATTTTGTGCAGATCCAGGTACCTCGGAGCGTGTGGGTTAGTAGATAGCTGATCGAGTATCGTTGTGGAGACTTCAAGGTATACCTGCCATCGCGTTCGTAGGTCTCGGAGTCACCTTCTGAAGTTTTACTTTATTTCGATTCCGAAATAGTTGCACTTGTCACACCTCCTTTTTCTACACCCGCCGAGAAGGGGTATAATAAAGAGAGTTATTTCCAACTTGAAGTGACAATCGGAACGGGATTTATTATTAAAATTCAGAGTCGCCACTTGGGAGATTAACGGTGTCCCAAGTCACCGGATGAATCCCGAACCGAGGAAATTATGACTCTGTTAACAGTCCGCGAACTAGAAATCCGAGTAAGGAATTCTGTTAACCCAGGAGAAGGTGTTAGGCATTCCCGGGTGCCGTGGTTCTAGCACAATCGCTCAACTGTTGTATTTGATTTTATCTAATTTCAAAACATGTTCTAGTTTATGCTTTTATTAGTAAACCGCTTTTATTTTTAATAAGAATTGCAACGTCGTGAAAATGCGTCTCGAACCACGTCGCACCAGTGCACCCGTGATTGTTAACACATTTCGACTTTGTTGAGATTTGGATTTGGGTCACATAAATGTGCACCCGAATTTAGGAAAGTAATATTAAAATACGCGCCTAAAGCAACTACGCGTTTTCAACTTTGGGGAAGGCCGTGAAATTTGCTAAACGGTCCTCCCGAATTCTAAATATTTGTATGTAGCATTTATTGAGGGCCCCGCAATTTGCATTTTTATTTGGCGAGGCTCGTCTCATCATTTTTATTTTAAAGGGAATCCTAAAGTGACTATAACCTTTCTATGTTCTTTGTCTAAAATAAAATTATCTTTCAACGTTATTGTTCAAGGGTCCATAAACTTTCTGGATAGGGAATGAATTCAGAAGCTCCAAAATTGGGCTTTAGTTTTGGCCCTATGCCATTTCAATGATGCTTGTGAGAACGGGAAAGGCTGCCCAGACATGGGCTTCATCCAATGAGAACAGGCCCAAATGGCCTGTCCGGTTCAGCTTATCGAGCAACTCTGGATCACGTTTAAATGTAATTTATATATACTATAGAATTATACAATCAGTGAATCATGCAATTATTTTGCTTGTTTTATACTTATTTCATTTAACTCATTATCTATCTCATGCATGTTTAATGGTGACTATTTGAACTAATGTTTGTTAGCAACCATTAGACCTATCTACGAGTTCAAGTTACAAGTAACTTCAGGATAATCATAAGAGGGGTGCATGCTCATATGGTTTAATTTGAAGTTCCAGCTCTTGTGACCTATTGTTAACTAGTAATCAAGTAAACACATCCAAACTGGAATGAATTATGCAAATGCTACTCACCCAGCCCACTATCAAAACTAGAAGTTCGAACCTCAGTCAAAATATGAACTCAGAATACTTCCTGGTGTTACACGTTCAAACCACAAAACTGAACCAACTACAAATTAAGTCACATCCGAGTTAACAGTTCATAATTGAAGTCCCAAATTTAAATACAACTCGACATTCAACTATATATAATCGGATACATTCAATATTTATCTAGCTATATTAAGGTGTGATGTCCAGCAAGCGGATTTCAGAATCAGCAAATAGCTATTTTATTCCATCTCTGAGCTCGGGGTTACAGCAAGGATTCGAATGTGTACCTGACTTAGAACAAAAGGAGACAGACAGTCAGCAGCAATAAACAAGGCGAACACCCAGCAATCAACAGAGAACAGCCACAGGAGTAATTTGACCCCAAAATAACCAGGAGGTTTCAACGGGAAAACCAAAAGCAACAGCAAATGACCCACTAACAGCACAAG